GTTATTTTTAAAAGTATTTACAAGTGATTAGCTATACTGAGCCAATATACTATAAATTCAGATAAGTCAATAATATATTATAAAGACAAGTTATAAAATTATTTGGTTAAATAAAGACATGCGAGTAATTATAATATCTAGAATCTGATATCTTGTAGTTATTTTTAAAAGTACTTATAAGTAATCAACTATATCAAACAATATATCAAAAAGATAAATTAAAATAATTTGAAAAATCTTGTTAGATCATTATTCTACAATAGAATATTACTAATTTGATAATATTTTTTGCAAAAAAGTGAAAATATTAATACTAATATTAATATTAAAAAAAAGTAAAGGAAAAAAAAATGAAAAAATATTAATACTAATATTAATACTAAAAAAATAGTAATAAAATAAAAAAAAATCTAATTATAAATCTTTGTTAAGCTTTAAAAAAATTATATATTATAAAATAATTAAGCTTTGTATCTAACTTTATTCTAATAATATATATTTAAAAAACTAGTTTTACAAAAAAAAATAATAACTAAACTAGTAAAAACTATATTAATCTTAGACAAGATAGTTAGTAAATAGTCTTAAAATATTATTAACAAATCTTTAGTATTTTAAAATATATAACTAGTGTGTTGTTATCAAGAATTATTAACTCTATCATATAATATAAAATAATTTGACTATATAGATTACTGAGTTTACAAAAGCAAACTGTTAGTAGTACTGCTATTTTGATTAATTAATAATACTAATTATTTTGAAAGATATCTAAAACAGAGAGAAATTATATAATTAATATTTATTGAATTAACTTTAAGGTTAGAGTTATTTTAAATTAAGATTAGATTATATTTTAAATAATTATATATATACAAAATTGCTTTTTAAACTTTTTTGTTTAATCTATTTAAAATAAATTTAGACTGCTATTTTTTGTATTTTTTAGATTTTTCTTTTTTCTTTTTTGTATTGCTTTACTGATAATCATCAAAATTTTATAATTTGATTGACTAATAGTTATATAATTTCTCTTTGCTTTAGATAATTTTCTGTTTTAATAATTTATATAGAATATTATTATTTATACTATTATTTTTGCTATTTATACTATGCTAATTGCTAAAATTTTATTATTTTTTTAATAAACTTGTTTATTTAGTTATAAGTTTTAATTAAGAAGTTATTAAAATATTCTTTAGCTAAAAATTTTAAATATTATAAATAAAAAACTAACAAAATATTAGTATTAAAGTAGTGTAAATAGAAATACTCTTTATATATTGATCTTTAGAAAAAAGTAAACTGAAATAGTTACTTTTTACAAAAATTTCCTTGGTAGATTAATAAAATTTTATATATTTTTTCTTGTAAGTTTTATAGTTATATAGAGATTATTTAAAGTTTTTAATATCTTTAGTATTAATTTAATTATTCTGTATTTCTAAAATATCTTTTTGATTTAGATACTGAATATAATAGAAGAATTTGCTAGCAAGAAGCTTAATCTCTATAAAACCATTCAAAGTAGACTATTTCTTGGTTTTATATTTTTAATACTTTGTTAAAAACATATTTACTTATATAGAATCAAGTTTATTATGTTTTTAATAATATTTTTTTGTAGTTTGATTTTTTCTTAGACTTGTTGATCAAGAGATCATTAGAAAAATTATTAGAATTGATTGAATGACTAAGACAGACTATATTTTACATATTATAAGCAAACTTTTGTTTTAGTTAAATTAATAATTATTATATAATTCATTAAATTTTTAAATAATGTAATTTTTTCTTGGTATTAAAGTAAAGTCTTGCTTATATTTTTATTGATAATTTTTTATTATAATATTTACTGTAAGTTATTAATTTTTAAATACATAAGAGGACTTAGAAGGTTTTTAAGAACTTACTCACTAATTAGACGAGACAAGACTAGAAGAACATGTGAAGTCAATATATTTGTTATACTTTGGAATGGAATATAGATTTAAAGTTAGAACAATAAAGAGAAATTGAGATATGTAGTCTAATAACAAAGTTATGTGCATATAATTTTTAACTCTTAATACAGGTTAAAATGCATTTAGTTTAGTTTTTTTTATATCAGCTGAGTTTTATGTGATCACTATAATTATATAAATAAGTATTCTGATTAGCAGGTATCAATTTGTTAGTTAGTTTCTATAGTCTTGTATTGTATTGTTTTTTCCTCTTCTTTTTGTATATTTGTTTCTTATATGTTCTTTTTTTCAAATATTACCTTTCTCATATTCCCCTTACCCTATTTTGCTTTCTGAATTTTTTTGTTGATGAGAATTTTTTTTCAAATTGGTAATATATTATATAAGATAGTAATCCTGACAAGGTTGGTAAGACCTACTGTAAACTCTTGAAGTATAAATTCTTAGTAAATTAAAATTTTAGACAAGATAAAGAAAAACCACTTAGGCAGGTCACACCTGAGTCTTCCTTGCAGAACTTATTTTTAGATTTTTGTTAAATAGATCAAGTGATTCTTTATTAGTACAGACATGTGTAATTCTACTAAGTAGTTTAACCACTACAAAAATATTTTATGCCAATTTAAATAATAAAAAAAGAATTGCTGAAACAACAAAAAAAACAAAAAAAATAAATACTTAAGTATTAAAATAAAAAAAATTATATATAGAAATAAAAGCTTAGACTAATTTATTTGACCTAAACCTACTAGAGTAGTTAATAGCCCATCTAGATTTATATAAATAACAGGAGCAGGATAGCTAAATTAGAAAAAAAAACTATAATATTATATTAAAAACTAAATATTTAAAAGAAAATATCTCTGATATGCTTTGTGTACCTATAGTAAAACTAAACTAGCAATATAAATTAGGGTTATATTAGGTTAGAATTAAGATTAAGTTTAGAGTTAGAGTAATATAAAATTGTAAGAGAAACATTTTTAATTGTTATACAATAGGGTTACCTAGTCAAAATTTCAAGATATTAGCAATTTTATAAGAATTCTATAGGAAGGTGTACAAAGTGCACGGTGCACTGTCTAGTCTTTTCCTATTTAAAATTAAGCAATATTAATATATATTACATGTTACGTAAAAGTTCTAAAAAAAAATAGTTCAAATTTTAAAAGTTTTTGGAATATACAGTGTATTAAATATTTTTACTTAAAACATCTCGCGTTGATTAGTTATACTAAAAATTTTTTTTTAATTTTTTTAAAGTAATTTTAATAAAATGATTATTAATTGATTTGTGTAATTTGCAAAAACCACGTATATACTTACGTACGTACGTACTCACAAACGTACGTACGTACGTACTCACGTACGTACGTTCGTACTAATTTTGCCATCATTTTCCAGCATTTTCTATTAGAAGCCAAATTAGGAGTCGAAGTATATCTTATAGAACTTGCATTACCTACCTGATAGACTTTATCTAACGAACCAACCAACCATAGTACACATGTATGAAGAACAAGTTCTAATAAAGATGCGTAACATCATCGCGATGTGATCAAAACTTTAATTAGTACCATCTTTAGCAACTATACTATATATGTAGTGACTATTAATATATTTAGACAGCGTATAGTATTTGTGCAATTATATAGTAATTTTAAAAGGGCCGAATAGAAGTTTTTAATCAAATAATCAAATTTAAAAGATTTTGACAAATATTAATATAATGAGCATAAACCTAAGACCAAGACACAATATAACTCATTTTGATAATTATATTAATTACGTGAACAAATCAACGAAAATAAATGCACAGAATGATTAATAAAATCCAAAAGAATAATAGAATGTGAAAGCATTTAACAAATTTCAAGAAGCTCAATTTCACTAAGATTTAAAAAAAAAAAAAAAAGAATAAATTTTAATTGTCGAATAATCGGAACTATAAATTTTCAACTTACAAGATTAAGGTAGAATTAGGAGGAATCTTTGGATAAAAATGGTAAAATTAGAAATGAATAACGTAATGAAATGAAGAAATTAAAGAAAATAACTAATTTATAAACTTGTCTGCTTACAATTTCACCAAAGCCATTTTCATAACCATAATCAGGAGAGATCGTAAGTTTAGCCTTTTGACCGACGCTAAGCTGAGGAACACCTGTTAAAAAAATAGATGTAAATTCAAAGAAAATAATAGAACTTGAAAAAAAAATAGAATAGAGTTGAGGCCAATTAATTTTAATCGATTAATGGTCATTAAAAAATGAATTGATTTCAATTAGGGATGGCAAAAAAAACAGGTTAAAACATTTTTTCACCTGTTTAAAACACGTTAAAACATTTTTTCACCTGTTTAAAACACGTTAAAACATTTTTTCACCTGTTTAAAACACGTTAAACCATTTTTTCACCTGTTTAAAACACGTTAAACCATTTTTTCACCTGTTTAAAACACGTTAAACCATTTTTTCACCTGTTTAAAACACGTGCTGATTAAAGTCCGAATACTGATTTAAACAATGTTCACCTGTTTTTTTTAATTTAATCTTCACCTGTTTTTAATTACGTAATAAAAAACATTTGCCTAATAAAAAACATTTGCCATCCCTAATTTCAATAACCATCCATCTAAAAATGTACATGCTATGCATACTTCAATCACATTCCCATAGAACTTTAAATAGAGTGTCCACATGTTCAAAGGGAATGCACTTATATAAGGTTGACAGTATTAACAAAACATTAATAATTGTGGCAGATTAAAATGAAATCAGATTAAAATGAAATGAGCGATAGTGTAAAATAGACAAGCCACCAAAAAATACAAATTTTTTTGGGTGCATTTTTTAGCATTTTTTTAGGGTTGGGATTAGGGTTTAGAAAGCAGGTTTTATAATAAACAAGTATAAATGGGTTTTAGAGGGTCAAATAGAAACCCACATTTCATTTTAATCCGATTTCATTATGATCTGCGACAATAATTAATCGTAATTTAGTGCAACGTAACACTATCACGAAGCTAACCCCTAACATAAAACGAACTTAAAAGGTTTTTTCTACGATAATGTGACGGATACATGGCGATACTATAATCATACTATATACCCGTGTGCGAATCACGTTATCTATATTAATCAGGCCCGGTTCTTTCAGATGTGCGACGCTGTCGCACTAAAAACCAGGAACATATTTATAATTATTATATTAGTTCTTATATATCATAAAGCTTTTGATTAGATTTAGCAATATAAATTAATAAGTATAACATCATGATTTCATCAATTGACTTGGTTATAGAGCATGTGGAGCAACTTAGAAAATATATAAATTGCTAAATTGACACGAATAAATTGAACCAAATGAAGGATTTAACAGTACAGTAACTAAAAATTGCATATGGGTAGTTTGCCACCCCATTCCAACTAATAATTAACTATGACCAGAATAATACCCAAATTATTAATAATAAAATATTCTTAATTAAATATGAAATTATAACTTTACTCTTTTTTTAATAGAGTAAAGCTCAACAAATTAATTTGAATAGAATTAAATAAAAGTTTACTAGTCTTAGATTTTTAATAATTTATTTTATATGTCAGTTCTAGTTTATGACAATCAATAATAATTATCAGTTCATCTGTTCCATAAAACTAAAAAAAGAATAGAAATTTTTCGTAAATCTAGATAAAAGACCAACAAAAAAAAAAAAAAAAAGATATACAGTACGATCTAACATATGAATGCACGTGATTATGGCGAGATAGTTTAGCCAAAGTTTTTAAACTATATAAGCATAGTTATAAATTTCTAAACAACTTGGATGATCTGAATTTTTAGAAATGATTAGCAAATTTTTTCGTATCGGTCGCTTGTGTAGCTGATACTTCAGCTACACTTTCTCAGTAAACATATCATGCATTCGTAATAAACTAGTTGTAGCTAGCCTAATGTTATTGCCCACGAAGCGGGCAATAACTGATTTATTCCCCGGTTCTATTTATACTTTCATATTATTTTTAATTAAAAGCAGCGTATTTCGTAATGTTTAGTTTATTAATCGCGAGGTTTCTTCTCCGTTGATTTTTTTCTTTTTTTCCTTTCACTCGGCATACTCGGTGACTTTTTTTGACAATGTATTAAACAATCTTTAAGATATAAGATGCATTAAAAACAAAGAAAAAAAGATATATGTATCATCAAAAAGGAAATCTAAATGTTTCGAACTCAAGATCTGGACAATACTGTAAACATGAACAAATAGTATGGTAAGTAGCATTGTGTGTCTGGAGCGTATCATATGATAATCATGTTGCACTAACGCGTGAATATGCATGTTTTTGGTACACTAATTTACAAATTTGAACACGCGTGCGGACAGACAAAAAATTTCTAAATTACATTTTTGATGTATCTTCATAATATTTATGCAGATGCATCAAAAAAGTAACTATTTCGGTCAAATGCATCAAAAACGTAACTTTTATATCACCTTGCATAGACAGGAGCGTAGCGACAGACCAATAAGGACCGGGGAATAAATTCAATTATTCACTACTATATAATTAAATATGCTATATTACATTACGGCATTATAACAATTAAATTATTCATTACTTATCTTAACACCTACTGTATATAAGTGCTCTCAAGAAAAAAAAAACCACAAATCTTATCTAGTAGGATTTACAGGTTTTTTCTTGGCGGCACTCTTATACATCCAAATACGTATGTTGGTTAAATAAAATTCATTCAATTTGATTTTTTTTTTTAAGCTAAAATTTAATATAATTATCTGTTTTATTTTGCTTTTTTATCTTTGTGTTTTTCTCCAAGAACCAATTATTAGTATATCAGGAAAGTATTATTATTACAAATATCCTGATTTTTTTATGTACACAAATATAACGGGAAGTATTATAGGTCTAAACACAGCCAGGATATTACCCTTTAATCACAACCCGGGTAGTTATTACAAAAAGTTATAATTTGAAAAAAACTATTCTAATAGATAAAATTTAAACCATTATATCAAATCCTTGCGAAATAGATAAAGTAAATGTGATTAAGATCGGGTAAATAAATTGGCCTGGTTTTTATTTTAATTATAATTTTTATCACCATTTCGTTGTCATGTTTATTGTCATGTTCATTGTCAATTTCATTATTTTCACAATTGACTTCATCGTCACCGTTGCTTTCATTACTTTCTCTGGTTTCATTATTATTCTTTCAACAGTTTTCAACTTTTTTATAAATGTTGGATGGATTTCTGTAAGTTGAACAAAAATTGTGAGCTTTTATAAAGAATAGTTCTTTTTTTTTTTAGTGCTAGTATGTTTTTATTATTTATACTATTTCAAATTAAAAAAGCACCAATTTTTTTTAATTTGGACTAGAATTAGGCGTATCTTACTGAAGTTCTTTAATAGTTGTCACTACTCATTTTTGTGAATCACACGATTATATAGTTTTTATACCCTACCTCAATGCTTGTGGATTATAAACTTATCATCTTGCTTATAATTATACAATTATAACTAATACCATAAGTGTGAATAAAATATAGTCAATATGTATTGTATAATCTTAAACACTTTCGATGCTTTAAAAAATTTGCACCACCGGCATTATTAGTTGTAAAATGTTAATATCTGAAATTGAGAAAGCTTGAGTATTCAAATTTCACATGGATATTTTTAGACTTTAAGCATTACAATAAAAATTCATAGACAAATAAAAATTAATACATTACTTTAGTACAAATTTAGATAGATTTTTAATAAATAATATAGAACAAGTAATCGATTACAATTTAATAATTGTCTTACGTAGTAGGATTTATTTAAGCTATAGCATTTATTTAATATTTGTTATTAAATTATGCATACCGATACAAGTTATTTTACCTATTTTGCTTTTCACATTCTAAAAAACTATTTAATACATCGGAAAAATTATAATCCAAATCTTCAGATAAAACAGCTTGGGCCATTTCTGCTACAGAGGATTCCAGATGTTCTTCAATTTCCAAGTCAACGATTTCATTAATTAATAAGGTAGTAGAACTATTAGATGTATCTGACGAAGTTTCATCATCCCTTATTTGATCCTCCTCATAACTCATAATATTACTAACTGAAGATATATTACATGCATCTCAAAGATCAGCTTCTGTTAATTCTTTATTGGAAAAGTTTAGCTCATGTTGGATATTCATCATGTAATATGACCTAATTTTAGACATTCCCTCTAGCCTGTTTATATTCAAATTAGTGTGATAATCTCCTAAAATCTACCTTAACAATGAGAAGTTCCTTTCGTAGCCCGCTTGTGTAGGATTAATTGAAAAATTCTATAGGCTAACTCAGCTAAATGTCGAGATGGGTTTTTAAAAGACTCCCACCAAATTTTTGAAGTGTCTATGCTCGAAACATAAGGAAGATCAAATGGTGATAATCATGCATCAAATTGTCACATTTGCGCAATTAGTTCTTCACCTTTTGACCGAGTATGCCCAAGATTTTGCCAGAGCTCAAGAGATGTAAGAGCTGCTTTATGAAACCCATTGTCTTTTAGACCTTTTTCTAAAAAATTATAATTTTTTAAAGTATACATTTAAATAAAAAATTAAAGTATACATTGACTAAAATAGAATAGTTTTATTATTGTACGTATATTATAAATAATAATAATAAACTGTAGTGCACTAACCAAAGTACTCCTTTTTGTGTACCCCTACTCAAAATACCTGGGTACTTTGTATAGCATTTTTTTTAATCGTTGGGTATTTTGCATAGAATATTGATTTTTGCATTACATGTATAAGACCATACAAGGTACTCCATACAAGATACCATAATCGATCAAGATATCCACAGGTACTTTATTTTTTTTGGTTAGATTGTATTGGACTTCAGATACTTTGGTCAATGCACTACGGTACATATAAGGTAAAGTACAGTATTCTGGCACACCTAAACTGTGTG